ACAAGTTGGCCTGCAATATAAAAGGGACACCCCGGGAGGACCTAAGGCATCGAATCTCATAGCCAACACATCCACTACAGCCTACGGAGTTGAAGCCTACAGGAGCCAAGTCGCCGGGAGATCTAATCGAACCTTTTCGATTACGACCTTGTCAGTATCTGTGGTTTCCATCATATAATCCCATATCAACTGGATTAGGGCTATTACCTATCAAGGGGCCTGAACCAGTATAATCTTTGTTTTCTGCCTGCTTGATGTCGTATTACGTAGATCCTTGTACTAGCGTACCCCAATACCCTCTATATCCGGTCTACGGGTATCCCCCATCGACAGGTCCTGAACTCTCAAAATATTTTTTTGGGTCCCTCAACTTGTCTCGGGTGTCATATAGGTCCAAACGGGTTTCAACCCGCTTCGTGTGCTGACATGGTATGCCATGGTGGCGTCTACGTGTCAGTAGAACCCAATTGTCAGCCACATATAGAAAAAAATTAGGAACATATTTTTTTCTCCTCTATTTTTTCATTTATTTTTTCGAAATTAAAAACATCGTTTTCTCCTCTCTTTTTAAATGTTATTTTTTTCTACATAACTAGCATGTGGATCCCACTGACACTTAAGCGTCATTGTGGCATGCCACATCATCTCACGGAGTGCGTTGGAGCCCTATATGACACACATGACAAGTTTGGGGACCAAAAATATATTTGAGAGTTTATGGACCTAGATGACACATCTGTACAAGTTTAAGGACCGCCCGTGCACTTCACTGTTTAATTTACCTCCGCTCAATTTGGTAGAGCCCTCGGCACCCTTAGCATGCCATTTAATTATAATATTAATTAATTGTGCTTGTAATACTATGCTAAACCATACCATGCAGGGGTGTAGTTTAGCATAGTATTACAAGATAAGGGGTCAATAGATGATTTTGAAATATGGTTTTATCTAGATGACCTTTATAATTTGTTTTTTTGGATGGTTTGTAAAACACGTTTATTTCTTTGAAACAAAATAAATCACGTGATAAAGGGATGTACATCCTCCGTTTAAAAGGAATTAACTTTTATGGATGAATCTTATTTAGAAAATGATTAAAATTCGGCCTCCACATCCACAATGGATATACACAGCTCAACTTTTATGGATGAATATAGATCGATATTTGTTTAGACTCATTTTAAGAAATTGGTTTTTCTAAGGCAAATGGAGTAGAGTACATGACATTGATGAACTTTCGAAACGCCTGTCCACATTCGTAGTACTAAGAAATATTCTATCCAGTCTTAGTTTCTTATATTTTTTTGAAGGGATGGAGTAAAATCTTGCTCATTGAGTGCAGCACTAATTATAATCTTTGTGAGTTCGATGTGACAGGTGCTTATATACAAGGCAAAAATTAAAGATAAAGTGCACAACCACCCAGTAGTAGAGTTTGGTCCCAGCTCGATCGATCAATTGGCTAATCGACTGGACTAGCTAGGCCGCATCAGATCTCAGAAGAATCCTGAACCATCAAAGGCATCTGGCCGGTATATAGATATAGTTATATGGTAGGACCCCTTGCTTAACACATTGTTTGGTTTCTTTCCCATCGTCAGACTGTTTTCCTTTCTCTTTCTCTCTCTCGTGGCTTGTCTCCTTGATGCTTGCTACTCTATCCAACTAATGGTGGTCTCTTTAACAATAATGCTACTGCTAATTCTAAATTGAAGTGTACATAGTGAGATTAAAGAAGATAACTTTAATTTTCTACAAAGAAGATATGATAGACCGGCGAAATAAACCTTTCATGAGTACCAAATTGGGGATCGTATGTATTGTTTACTGTGCTAGGTCATGACATCTATTTTTTGGGAAGTCGCGGGCTAGGGAGAGGGGATGTAGTAAGGGTAAAATAGTTTGGGGGTGACTCTATATTCTCATTGCTATTTACATGGGTTTTCTGATCAAATATAATTATACTACAAATTTTATTTTTCATACTTATTTTTATTTTAAAATATAGCTACCTTTATAGTACAATCTCTATCCCAAAATATGGTTACCTGCGCTTTAGGACGGAGGGAGTAATATCTAATTTCTAATGCAGCACTGATCTTGCCGACAAGAGGTGCTACATTCAATTGATGCGATGTTGTCGTTCAATAGTGATATAGATGTGATTTGTAGTTTTCATTTAAATAATTTGTCCAGCACATCTAAGATTGTATGCCCTAATTACTCATAGCCTTTTCTTTTTGAAGTTTCTAAACCTTTTTGGTGATGGATTCACTGAGTGTAGCCAATGGCCATGTTACACGCTTTTGTCTTTGCAAAGGACAATTGTGATGACCTAGTAATTGTGATATTTGTTAGGGCGTTTGCCTAGATCATAGGTTTTTTTTCAATCGGCTCACATGGACTGTTGTGAGTGTAGAAATAATGAATCAGCTGATGGTTTGGTTGAAACGATCTTAGTTCTTGGTATGATGGGCCATAAGATCACCATCAGATCAAATCGTCATGAAAAAAAAATCCATATTCCCCCCTTAAACTTATTTGTTGGAGCCCTTGACCTCCTAAACCATTTATTCCCTGCTCAGGTTACTCCCTAAAATATTGAAAGTCTCCCACCTTACCTATTCATTTACATTTGAATATTTTTTCTTCTTTCTACTAGTGTAGTGTTGTATTGTTAGCTGAAAATTCCTGACATTATAATAAAAAAGCCATTAGCTTGGAAAAGAAAACGTTGTTGGCATATCTCCATCTTAAAATATAGCAACACAGTACCGGATATGATATATATATTCTAATATTATGAAGCTAAAAAGGATATGTCCCATTCGATATTAGGTTGCTATATTTCGTATTACTCCCTTTGTCCTAAATTATAAGGTCTATATTTATTTACACGGTATTCAATAACATACTTTGGCCATTAATTCATTTCGTATTATGTCATCAACAACTATTAAATTAGTATAACATGAAAGTATTTGAAAACACGAGTCTAATGATATAACATACACAATCCTTCACATAGATATTGTTAGTGGAATTATTAGACAAAAGTTATCGAGTTTGATTTTTCTAAAAATAAGGACACCCTATAATTTGGGACGGAGGGAGTAGATGGGGTTGCTATATTTTGGGATGGAAAAAGTACACCGAAGGTCCCTCAACTTGTCATCGAGTTATAAAATCATCCTCCAACCGCAAAACCAGATATTGGACATCCCTTAACTAATCAAAACCGGTCACAATAGGTCATTCGGTGGTTTTGAACCCGGTTTTATCCTAGATGGTGCATGAGTCAGCGTGGGACCCATGTGGACCCCATATGTCAAAGATGCCACGTCATCTCCGGTCTCTTCCATTTTTCTTCTGTTTTCTCTTCTTCAGCGGGTCGGCGACGGAGCCGAGACGGGCGGCGGCCGAAGATTAGCAGGTCGGTGCAGTTCTCCGCGCGGAGCGGAGCAGGGGCGGGCGCCGCCGGAGTTGGGCGGCGACGGGACGCCACCAGCAGCAGCAGCAGCCGCCGCCACCGCCGCGCTCGGTTGAGGGCTGGGACTTGGGAGCTTGGCCTCCGTGCCCACTGCAGCAGATAGATCGGTAGGCATCGAGATCGAGCTTCCTTCAGATCTGCATGCATGCATGGCATGGCAGCAGCAGGTAGGTAGCGAATCAGATGAAAATCTTATCACATGGAGACAGCTATCCGATCACCTCCGTGACACACCCAACAACGATAGCTAGGAGATCTCGCGATCAATCAGCCTTCGCCACCGCCGCGAGCCCACCGATCGACCAGCCAAGATCGAAACCGCGCCGCATGCTTATTTGCAACTCACCTCGATCCTCATCTGAATATACTGAAACCGTGTAAACCAATTTTAATCCTCTCAATATGGCATTTGGCAAATCAATCAGTGATATTCCTTTGTTCCTGTCTACTACCATGCTGTGCTAGCTAGCTTATGTCTGCATTTGCGTTGCTGTGATATTCCTCGGTGCGTACAGTACGTACGTAGTAGGGCATGTGCAGAAATTATTGCTTAGCTAGTGTTCGTTCTCTTCTGCTGTTCAGTTAAATTTTCAGGGGGATTCGAGAGATCGGAGAGAAGGAAAGATGAGATGCGTCTTTCTCGTCTGCTTGGGCTTCAGATCGTCCCGTCGCGGCGCCGTCTTCCTCCTTTCCCGCCTCGCCCCGTCGACGCCCGCGCACACCCGCGCCTCCCCGTCGACGCCCGATAGCCCGGCGCGGGGGAGGTTCTGGCGGTCGACATCGAGGCCGTGGAGGGACTTGACGATGGGGGCGACGGAGGCGCCGCTCTCCTCCGACCCCGCCGGCGAGCTCGAGGCCGTCGAGCTCCCCTCCTCCCTCGAGGTGCTCCAGGAGCGGTTACTTTGATGCATGCCGAGTGGGCGCGCCTCGTCGCCGCCAAGGGCGTAGAGGATCTCGTCTTCGTCAACAAGCCCGTCCATTACTTTGATGTGCCCCTCACTGCCGACATCCTCCGCTGCGCCGCTCTCCACCGCCTCTTCCTCGGCAACTGGAATTTCCCGGCCACCTTTGGCTTCCCCTGCGGCGCCGGCGTCTTCCCCCACCTCTGCTCGCCTGCAGCCCAGTACTGGAGAGCCTCACGCTCGCGTGAAAGAGAGAGAGAGAGAGGAGCAACCGAGGAAGAGAAGAGGGGGATAGAGATGACGTGGCATTCTGACACGTGGGGCCTACGTGGGTCCCACGCTGACTCAGCCGCTACGTAGGATAAAATAGGGTCAAAACCACCGAATGACCTATTGTGACCGGTTTTGATTAGTTAAAGGACGTAGGATATCTGGTTTTGCGGTTGTGGGACGATGTTGTAACTCGACGACAAGTTGAGGGACCTATTGTGTACTTTTTTCCATTTTGGGATAGATGTAATAATATGGAGTTTAGTGGGCCTAGATGGGCTGAATATGAGGCCCATTTGTATGTAACCCGGCCCACAGCCTCCTTCCATTTTGCAATTGCATCCCCTTCACTCCGCCGCTCGCATTTCCTCACCCACCCATCGCCTCCTCTCCGCCGCCGCCGCCTCGTCGCCGTTGACGCCGCCGCCCGCCACCGCACCGCCGCCTCTCTCCCCCCCTCTCCCCTCCGCGCGCTCCCTGCCACTGCGCCCCCCTCTCTCCCGCGCCGCGCGCCACGGGCTGCAAGAGGGAGAGGGCGAGGCGAGGTGGCCCCTCCTCCGGCCGCCGCCGCGCTCTCTCTCTCACTCGCCGTGCTGTTGGGCGAGTTACTTGCTCCCTGGGAGGTGGCTCTCCCCCCTCCAGGATCCTCTCCGGCGGCTGCCGGCACGCTTCTCTCTCGTGTGCTAGATTTCCGTGAGCTGGTGGTTCGGAAGCCCTAACGTTAGCTTGGTTGGAATTCTCCGGGCAAGCTCTGTTCTTCACGGTGAGGAATCAAATCCAATTCTAGTTGAATTTTGTACACTTCATGCTGCAGCTAGGAGGGCTAGAATAATATCTGTTCGAACATTAGTGGGAGTGCTCCTTGTGTTCTTATACGCTTACAATTTTGGGTTTGATAACTTACCTGATGCTTGAAGAATTCTGCATATAGTATAGGGATTGACGAAAGACAAGGTTCATTGGCTGTTTAAACTTTGCTAAAATAAGAAATGGATGTAAAGCTAGTGCGCTCTAGTTTAGCGTTGTCCCGTTCTCATGTATGTTTGTTGTATCTGAATGTGTACCTTACCTCTGTTTGCGTTACATATAATTTCATAGCTTGAAATGCTGAAAAAAGAATGTTGTCTTCTGTTGTGGATTGTACAGTAATGGAAGAAACTAGCATTGCTATTGAGATTGATGGGGAGGCGATCTGTCTGGACAGTGTAGGAGATAATGAGGAGCAAGGAACTCAGGAGAACCAAGAGATACAAATAATTTATGATGCTGAAAATGAGGGACAAGTTGCTTTCGACAATGGAGAACAGGGAAAGGAGGAACATCCCATGAGGAATGAAGAGGAGAACCAGGAAAATATTCCTGTAATTCCAAGCCGTGAGGAGTTGACTGAAGAATTGCGGAACAAAATTGCCAATAGTGAAGAAGAAGCTTACAGGCTGTACTGTGACTATGGACATCGTATGGGCTTTAGTGTGAGGAAGGGGAAACAGTACTACTTTACAGGGACCAAAACTATTCGTACAAAAGACTATTACTGCTCAAAGGAAGGTCTAAAGGACGATGAGCAGCTTACTGAGGCAAACTTTAATAAGCCAGACACCAGAACTAACTGTAAAGCAATGGTCCGTTATAGAGTTGATTCGGAAGGCCATTGGCGAGTTATTCAGATTGTTCCTGAACATAACCATGAGTTGGTTCGACCTGAAGAGGTACACTTGCTGAGATCAGTGAGGACTCTTTCAATTCCTAAGCCCGGTGTGCTGAATGCAATGGTAAATGCTGAAATACAAGCAATGCATGAAAATTTGCACATGAATGATGATGGTGCTGAATGTCAGAGTCAGCTTGGCATCCAAAGTTACACTCTGCTTGAACCAGAGGACTCTGAGGCACTTGTAGGTTATTTCAAGCGTAGAACAATTGAACAAGGTATGTTCTACTGGGATGTGCTGGTAGAGGATGGCCGAATGACAAATTTTTTTTGGAGGGATGGAAGAAGCCGTGTTGATTACGACTGTTTTGGAGATGTCGTGGTGTTTGACACAGCATATCGTACCAGCAAATATAATATGATTTGTGCCCCATTTGTTGGTGTTAATCACCATGGCCAAGATGTTATGCTTGGTTGTGCACTTCTGTTAGATGAGTCCCTGACATCCTATGAATGGTTGTTCAAGTCATTCTTAGATTCAATGGGTGGCCATCCTCCTAAAACAATTTTCACTGTTATGGCTGAAACTATATCCAAGGCAATTGAAGGCGTTCTCCCTGAGACACGTCACTGCATCTGTCAATGGAGTATTGAAAAGAACCTACAGTCCCATTTAGGCACTCTAAATGTTTCTGGAACATTTCATAGCATGTTGACAAAATGCATGAGAGAATGTGAGTCAGAAGCAGAGTTTGAGGAAACATGGGCAATGATGCTTAACGAATGCAATATGCAGGATGACCAATGGCTCTCTGATCTGTATCAGCAGAGGCGTAAATGGTCCACAGTTCATCACAGGGATGCATTTGATGGTGGAATCAATTCACTCGATAGGAGTGATAGTTCAAACAATGTCCTGAGCAGCATTGCTAATGAATCAACTTCACCCACTCAATTTATTCTTGACTTTGATAAATTGGTAGGGAGTTGGCGTACAAATGAATCCGCCGAGGACATTCAGTGCACCCAGACATCCCCAGAATCTAGAGTTAAGCATAGGAGTATTTTGGAGCATGCTGCTGAAGTTTATACGCGCAAAGTCTATAAATCTCTTGAAACAGAATATCTAGATGGATGCAGTGCAACTTCATACCAGGAAATGCAGTGTAGTGAAACATTGTACCGGTTTGAGTTCATTTTGCAAAGAAGTGGCCCAAAAGTTCAGGTAGTTTTTCTTGACACCTCTACCATGGAATTGAGCTGTACTTGTAAAAAATTTGAGACAACAGGCATACTTTGTTCGCATGCAATAAATGCACTTGATCTCAAGAATTTTGATAGAATTCCTGAAAGGTATGTTTTAAAACGGTGGAAAAAGTATGTTAGGAAAGGAACATATCTATTTCCATCTGATGAGTTTGTGGGACAAGATTGCACAGAACCTGGGCTTGCATTTCGTAACAAAGCAATGCGATTTGTGTATGATCTGTTGATGAAGAGCAAAGGTCATCAGGATACGAGGAAACTTATTCTGGATGTGTTTGAAAATGGAGAAAAATTAGTAGAAAGCCTATGTGAACTCAAGAGATTGAATGCCCATGCCTCTGGAAGAGAGAAAGATGGAAGTAAGGTTGAAAAGCGGAAGAAAAAATCAGCCAAGCAAGAAAAAAGCTCAAGTATTTCTTCTTATACCTTTTATTTTTATTATGCTAAGTATAAGGTCGCATTATTATTATTTAAATAAAGTTGCTATGTTTGTTTCATAGGAAATGTTAAACAAGCAGTTTCATCTCAGACAGCTGACACAGTTTTAGTTGATCCACCAAATCAAAATCAATATTTTGCAACAGAAGATATGGCAACAAACTCATCTATCGGTAGACCTTTCTTCTACCAGGTAGAAGTCCTTACAGTAGCTGTTCTCTTTTAAAATTTTGTTCTCTTAGCTGTTTTCTCATGTGATGCCAAATTTGTGCAATCTATGTCCTTTCTAGGGGTTTCCTTCTGCTGGTGTTTCAACAAGTCAGATTCAGGGGCATACGAATATTCATTCTGTGCCTCAGTGTGCACCACAGGTACTTCGCAGAACTTTGTATTATCTTATCTTGATTGAGGGTAACGTTTGTTAATGATTAGACATGGTTAGGATGCTGCCAAACATGTCTAGTAAAATGCAATCAACTTGATCTACCTGGGGTTTACCCTTAATCAACTGGAAGGTATAGGGTAATACGCTATATTGCATGTTGTTCTGTTCTTTTTGAGAAGCTCACATCTATATAAGAAAAAGATTTGTGCCTTGCCCCTCCCATATATACCAAAAGAACCATACAAATATTCCACCGGTATGGATACCAAAAGAACCCTTAATCTCCTGCCTTCTTTTTCCTGTAAACTTTCAAGACAGCCAAAATCTGCTTCAATTTAATTATGGGTAAACAGTCTATGCAGTGAAACATAAAGTGGGATGTACTAACATAGCTATTACTGTGTTGAACCTTCGATAATTTTTTTTAATTTGATGTTGTAGAGTACTATCAGTGGCTACTTTTATGTTGCAAGTAGATAGCTGTTCAGTGGCACATCACTGAAATCTTCTCATTTACCAAGTATGTTAAGGGTTACTTATTCAAGTGTGTCTGAATTACGACAGGAATATTCAGCCTATGGCGCAGCTCATCCTCCTCCAACATTTGGTGGTGGAAGAAATTTCTGAAGAATGTAGAGCATTGATGTGTGAATAGCTGAAGTTCATATTCTTTGACATATTGTTGTATGTGCATGGTCTAATCGAACGATTTTGCTAGGCAGTAGTCACCTTACCTAGCAGCAATAGAAGTAGGCCTCTCCTTATTGTATAAATTATTGAATTTGCTAATTGTTGTACTAGTTGTAAATTTGCTATTCACTAGTTGCATGAAGTAAAAAAATATTGTGCTGTAGGGAATAGATGAATTAATACTTTTTGTGCATGTCAGGTTACTAATACTAGGCTACTAGCTCTTACATGAGAGGGAAACCGTGATTTTTTTTCTATTGAGTTGCAACGCATGATTTCTAATGTGTTTACTTTACAAATTGCATCTGATTAAACAATTTCTTTCTGGTTTAAACCATATACATCACATCTACCGATTATATATCAAATTCAACAACGAAGAGCTTCATTTTCTCCTTGCTGCTGGCTGTTGAAAACGCCTTAGCTGAAATGGTCAAATATTTCATCTTATACTGCCCTGAAGAAACTTAATGTGAAGTCATTTAATCAAATTCCCTGCAGACATATCATTGATTGCAATAGCTATAATTTTCAGACTCATAACACGGAAGAAACTGGACGGTTTAGCTGGTCAGCTTGACTGAACCGCCTACTATCTGTTTCTCTGTTCATATAAATCAGTCAGTCCTTCAGATCTTGAAGACCATTCTATTCCCACAAAATAAGGGCATGTTTAGATCCCTAGCAAAAGCTTACAAATTGTCACGTCAAATGTTTGGACACATACACGAAGTACTCCCTCTATTTTTTAATAGATGACGCCGTTGATTTTTTCTCACATGTTTGACCATTCGTCTTATTCAAAAAATTTATGCAAATGTATAAGATATAAATCACACTTAAAGTACTATGAGTGATAAAACAACTCATAACAAAATAAATTATAATTACGTAAATTTTTTGAATAAGACTAATGGTCAAACATGTGAGAAAAAGTCAACGGCGTCATCTATTAAAAAACGGAGGTAGTATTAAATATAAATGAAAAAATAACTAATTACACAGATTATGTGTAAATTGTGAGACAAATCTTTTAAGCCTAATTGCGTCATGATTTAATAATATGATGCTACAATAAATATTTGCTAATAACGGATTAATTAGGCTTAATAAATTCGTCTTGCGGTTTACAGGCGGATTCTATAATTTGTTTTATTATTAGACTACGTTTAATACTTCAAATGTGTGTCCGTATATCCGATGTGACACGCTAAAACTTTATACCCCTGTATTTAAACACAGCCTAAAACCCTACATTTTCTAAGCCAATGTATAGATTTATTATTTGTATCTTATCTACTCCCTCTGTCTTATAAGTACATATTCATTATATTAGGATGTGTCATATCTAATTCTAAATTCGTGCATATACCTTAGTATAAAATTATTGCTCATTGCCAAAAAAAAAAATCTTGTCAGTTCTGTGAAGTAAAACTTTCACACCGCTTGGGGTTGGTGCCATATGGATATATGCTAGACAAGCCAGGCCTCCATTTGCATAATTTCATTAATTTAGACGTGTTCTTTTAATCGTAGAAAATGAGAAGAGAAAAGATGACAAGTAGGACTTGGTACTTGGATGTACCAGCAATTTTTATACGGCTGAATACAAACAAAAACTGAACCATACTAGTATGACAGCTACTCATCATGGTCAAACCAAGATATTGGGTCAGAGTGATGCCTTGGTCGGTCAAAGAAAACACACACGTCGATCAATAAAGGAGCCCGTTGCAGCGTCCCTTCAGTTAGCCTTAAGGATTTGACAAAAAGAACACGATGACTTCACGAAATGAAACCAGAAATGTGAATGTTCAAATATATTCTACTCCTATGTGACAGTCAAGCGTGTGGTTTATTTCAATCCTGCAGGATTTTAGGTCTCAGAATAAGTTATTTGTATTTAGAACATGTGCTAATGTCTTTCATATATAGAACAAAGAAAAAGAGAATAGTTTTTGGAGGATTTAAATCTTGTAGAAATAATTTCTATGGAGTACGTACCCAATATTGGAACAAAGAATGCCCCCTCAAAATTCATTCAAAAATACTATGCAAAACAACGTTCATGTTTACTTTGGTTGTGTTTTGAGATCTCTGATGTCTTCCATAGTGATCTAGACAAACATTTTTTGAAATGTTTATTGCATTTTTTTACTTCTTACAAGATTTCACAATAAATGACATCAGAATTCTATGTTTTGATAATCCTACATTACAAATGAAGCCCAGGATAGGAATACAGCTGGCCGTTCTTGCTTGAGGTGCTCGCCCATCTAGGGTTCAGTCAGCGCTGGCGTGATTGGATTTCTCTCATCCTTGGCGCCTCCTCTTCCCGGGTGCTGATCAAAGGGGTGCCGGATCCTCGATTCCCTCACCGGAGAGGCCTTCAGCAAGGAGATCCTTTCTCTCCCATGCTCTTCATTCTGGTCATGGATGTGCTTAACGCGATGCTCCGCAAAGCCTCTGACTCAGGCGGGTTCCTTCCGCTCAACGATCGTGCCTTGCGACACCGCGCCTCGATCCCTCTACGTTGATGACTTGGTTCTCTTCCTCTCCTCGGTTCGTCAGGATCTTGAGTTCATCCAAGGCATCCTCTCTGTCTTTGGTGCAGCGTCCAGGTTTCGCACTAACTTTGCCGAGTGTTCGGTTACTCCGATCCGCTGTTCGGTCGAGGACCTGGAGCTGGTTCAGTCCTGCTTTCCCTACTCGATCTCTGATTTTCCTTGTTCCTATCTCGGCATTCCGCTATCCGTTCGCAAGTTGCCGAAGGCGGCCCTGCAGCCGCTTGTGGATAAGGTCTCCCATCGTCTTCCTTCCTGGAAGGGACGACTCAGCACTCTGGCTGGCCGCTCTGTTTTGGTCCAGTCTGTTCTCTCCTCCATTCCGGTCCATGTGTCTATGGCGATCGGTCTTCCAGCCTAGGTGATCAAGGCCATTGATAAGAAGCGCCGCGCCTTCTTGTGGACGGGCACGGACTCGGCTCACGGTGGGCAGTGCCGGGTTTCTTGGATGAACGTCTGTCGTCCTAGAGCTTTCGGTGGGTTGGGAATTTCTGACCTTAGGTTGGCAGGTTTTTCCCTGCGTGTTCGCTGGCTTTGGCTACAGCGCTCAGGGCATCCCTACTGGGACGGCCTGAAGGCCCCAGCCGAGCGAGCCGTCTCTAACATGTTTGAGGAGTTCACTTTCTTCGTGCCAGGTGATGGTGAGTCGATTCTTTTCTGGTCTGACCAATGGATCTGCGGCCACTCGGTAGCTTCCTTGGCTCCGGATCTCCTCTTCATTGTGCCCCCGCGTCTGCGTGGTTCGCGCACGGTTGCTTCTGGCCTGGCAAACAACGCCTGGATTTCTGACATCTGCGGCGCCCTCACTGTCCTAGTCATCTTCCAGTTTCTCCTTGTTTGGGATGCGGTGCTCCACATTCAGCTTACGCCAGGTGTCGGGGATCATCTTGTCTGGCGTTGGACGAGTGAGTAGCGCTACTCGGCACGTTCGGCATACCAGGCATTCTTCTTTGGCTAGCACTCCTTTGCTTGTGCCGATCTTCTCTGGCACGCGAAGGGCCCTGCTAAGTGCAAATTCTTCCTCTGGTTTGCATTTCAGTAGTGCTATTGGACGACTGATCTCCTCCAGAAGCGTGGCATTGATAGCCATTTGACTCTGTGCTCTCTTCGGTCGCAGTAGTCCTAGAGTCCATCCTTTCGGAGGGCCGGCTGTGGTCGTTAGCAACCGTCGCTTCCTTTGGGGAATTGTTGGGAGCGTAGAGTGGCTCTACCCCCTCCCGCTGTTTGGAGTTGAGTTACCGTCGTTTCGAGTTTTTTTTCCTTTCCTTTCTTTGTTTTTTTTATCTTTGTTTTCTTCCTTTCTTGGCGTAGGCCGGTCTGACTGAGTGCATCGTGTATCAAAACTCTATTCTTTTAATATATTGATGTGCAATTCTTTTGCGCGTTTGCGAAAAAAATCCCTATCCCTATTTGTTTGTGTTCACAACCAAGATAATTGAGATGTTCGGTAAAGTGATTAATTTTATTGTGACTAGTAATATGCTCATCCATTACAACGGGCCATACAAGTAAGGTTGGGTTAGAAGCTTGAACCAAACATAAAGCACTAGATCTAATCGTACTATTTTACTTGTTCTTTCTTTCCTTTTATTTGTTTTTTTATTTGTTTGACGGTGCAGTGGCTACATGTCTTTCGCGACATGGGGAGAAGTGGATGGACACTACCCCTCTTCTTTCTACTACCTTTATCCTAGAAAGAACATCTTTCTATCATTCAAACTTTGTCCCGAAAAGATTGTGTTTTTAGTAATATGGGGCCAGCTAATTAATTTTGAAAATACGGATCAGGTGGTCTAATTATTTTTAACTTTCCTTTTTATTTGTGTATGCTAATTTACTGCATAATGGAATAGTGGATTAGGAGTCATTAATTCATATCTAGTCAGTATAAACATTATTAAATAGGTGTATGAATGACAGTCATACTTGTGTTGAGTGCTAATCTGTCTAAAATCTGCAATAAATATATTCTGTTGGATGGAGATAATATCAATTATGATTATAGATAATTACGATGGACGACTGTCAAGTGATTGAATTTTTCTTTCTCTATCAATTATGATTACATTAAGTAAATGTAGATAAGGCCGTGTAATAAAGGTTGCTAGTACCGTGCAAACCACCACCCAAATCCCAAACCCTCCATGTGTTTTCGCACATTACACACATAGAAGACGTACTCCCCCGTCTCAAAATATAAGCATTTTTTAACTTCGACACAATCTTTAAGATACTACTTTGACCAACAATATCTATAAAAATAATATATTTTAAATAAAAAGAGTTGTATATATTATGATAGTTTGTTTAATGATAAATCTAGTAACATCAATTTTACATAATTGATCTTTTTTATTCTTTTTGCTATTAATAGTTAAAACACTATGCTAAAAATACTTATATTTTAGGACGAAGGAAGTACGTACTAGTATTACTGCTGGATGTGATACATCTTAGTACTATAAATTTAAATATTTTTTTCAGATTTATTATATTATTAAAATGTGTCCTATCCCGTTCTATTTTTTTTTACCGAGGGAGTAGACTAGAGTTAATTAATTTTGTATGCATTGACTTGCTTATATATATAGCCATAGCCAGTTAGCCATCCATGAGATTGAGACCAGCCAAAGCCCAAGCAGCTTGCATTCACAAGTTTCATGGAGATGGAGTACGGCACGCCGCAGCATTTCATGTGCCCGATCTCGCTGCAGCCGATGCAGGATCCCGTCACCTCCCCCACCGGCATCTCCTACGACCGCCGCGCCATCCACCGCTGGCTCGCCGCCGGCCACTCCTCCTGCCCCGTCACCGGCCACCCCCTCTCCCTCTCCGACCTCACCCCCAACCTCACCCTCCGCCGCCTCATCCACTCTTGGCACCACTCCACTACTACGCCATTTCCCGTCGAGCGTTCGACGCCGTCGCCGCCGCCGCTTCGGGAGGTTGACGACGACGACGTCGTGGAGAGGCTGGTGATGGAGATGGAGGGTGGTGGTGGTGGTTCTTGGTGCCCCCCGTCGTGTGACTTGCTCCGCGAGGCGGCGGCGGTCGCGGCGGGGAGCGGCGTCGCGCGGAGGCGCATGGTGGGCGCCGGCGTGCTCCGCCGCGTGCTGCGTTTGGTGGTGTGGTGTGGCGGGAGGGGGTCGTCGTCGGGTGAGGCGGCGGTGATGGTGGAGATGTTTGATGCGTGCCTCGCTCTCTTCCACGCGCTCGACGTCTCCGCCGACGAGCTCCGCCCGCTCGTCGCCGACGGCCACGACCTCGTCGACGCGGTGACGCGCGTGATGGCGACACTCGAGGCCGGCGACGCGAACGCGACGAGGGCGAGGGAGAGCGCGGTGCGGCTGCTGGAGGCCGTGACGGAGGCCGCCGACGCGCCGGTCCTGGAGCGGCTGAGCCCGGAGTTCTTCTCCGCCGCGACGGCCGTGGTGCGCGACCGCGGCGCCGTGTCCCCGGGCGCGGCGCGCGCGGCGGTGCGGGCGCTGGCGAACGCGTGCCGCGCCCGCGCGAGCGGCGCCTGCAGGAACCGCGCGCTCGCCGTGGACGCCGGGGCGGCGCGCGAGGCCATCGAGCTGGAGCTCGACGCGTGGTCGTCGCCGCAGGCCCCGGGGGGGCGGCGCGCCACGGAGGCCGTGATGGCGCTGCTGGCGGAGCTGTGCGCTTGCGCGGAGGGGCGCGCGGCGGTGGCGTCGCACCCGGCGGGGATCACGGTGGTGGCGAGGCGGGTGCTGCGCGTGTCGGCCGCCGCCGACGCGTGCGCCGTGCGCGTGCTGGCGGCCGTGGCGGGGCGGGCGGCGTCGCCGGAGGTGCTTCGCGAGATGGCGCGCGTCGGCGCCGTCGGGAAGCTGTGCTGCGTGCTGCAGGCAGAGTGCGACGCCGGCGTGAAGGAGGCGGCGAGGGCGGTGCTGAGGATGCACTCCGGCGTGTGGAGCGGATCGCCATGTGTCAGCGCTTACCTGCTGTCTCGCTACCTCTAATTAAGCAAGCATCTACGTATTCGGAATGCACTAATTAATTTTTTTTCTTCCAGTTTTGGCTGGAGTTTAACTTATTATAGTAAATTTCTATCAGATTCATGCGTTTCAAAGGATGCTTGAAACGTTTTTAACTCATACTCTCTCTGTTATAACCATATTCATCCGTAGAGTTGATTTTATTTTGGGACAGATGAAGTAGACTCATAGCTAGCTAGATGATACTACCTCCGTTTCAGTTTATAAGACTTTATAGTATTAACCATATTTATATAGATGTTAATGAATCTAGGCACACATATGTATAGATTAATTAACATATATATATATATATATATATATATATATATATATATATATTAATATGGGCAATGCTAAAAAATCTTATAATATGAAACGGAGGAAGTATTAGTTAAGTTGGTTTCTTGATTGATTCTTGATGCACTATTGTACATATCATATACTCCATCCGTCCCATAATATAAGGGATTTTGAGTTTTTGCTTACAATGTTTGACTACTCGTCTTATTCAAAAAATTTGTGCAAATATAAAAAACAAAAAAGTTGTGCTTAAAGTAAGTCACAAAGAAAAGTAATAATTCTAAAATTTTTTAAATAAGACGAATGATTAAACAGTACAAGCAAAAACTCAAAATCCCTTATTATAGAACGGAGGGAGTATTGTGTAGTCCAATAATCGACAGCTGATCAAAGAGAAAATTGATTTTTTTTATGACGTTATGTATGAAACAACAGTAATATTTATGGATTTCGAACGAATTATGCATATAGATGCCTTAATAGAGCATCGCTTTTACATCTTAATTAGACATCTATTCATAGATTGCACAATTAAAAAGGAGAAATTTGAGGGGAAAAGGAGTTGGGTACCCAACGAAAAAGGAAATGCTTACAAGATTATCTTTGGAAATTAAAAATTATAAATTAAATGTTGCACTTATGGTAAATGGTTTCGGTTATAGTAGATTTACAATAACTCTTTTGTTGCATTCCATTTATATATATATATTCACGTTGTTCTATATATTTCAATATATAAACCGATCCCTTAAATATTTCCATCCTCTCTGTCTGATCCAATTTGGCCGAGCTGTTATTCATGAAGGGTCAATCTAATTTGATTGCGCGTCCTGGTCCATCCGATTATCCGAAATGTCCGCTTTTCTATTCCGATATTTAGTGCTATTACTTTTAGAAAGTTAAATTAATCTATATTAATATTTTGAATCGTGGAAATTTAATTTTCGTTGTCACCTGTGAGTTTATTGGGTAGTGTTTACAACACTGTTGAAGTTGGGTTTGAAAATATTTTTCGTGAATTAGTGCTTCTTTCCATTGTTACTGAAAACAACAAGATTATTTACTCCACTTATTATATGTCTAATGTGTCTTGCACGTTCACGCTAACTAGTGCATATAAATGCCTCAATAGAGCATCACTTTCACATCTTAATTAGACATATATACATAAGATTGCACAATTAAAAAGGAGCAAAAAGAGAGAAATTTGAGGAGGAAAGAAGAGAGTCCCGGAGTACATCATAGGACACGGTTTGTGGACTGAAGCAAAGAGTCTGACCGGTGACTTGGAATGTTGTGATGGATAAACTTGGAACAACGGAAGCTGAGAAAAGTCAGTCAAAACAATAATGCGCAGGTGAGGTGAGTGAAGTACTCTATCCGTCCCATAAAAAACCAACATAGTACTGAATGAGATATTTTCGTACAATAAATCTAGACACGCTCCTAAAAAATATCCCATCTAATTTTAGATTAGTTTTTCTAGACGGAGAGAACGTCATGTGTACCGTGATCCGGCCAGTGAGTGTCCTGGTCATTATCAACATCCGCGCAACGTGTGACACAAGTTGTACGAGTCCTAGGACCATCCAAACTTAAAGCAGTTTGATGATCAGACAAGATGATAAGGATATCTTTTTACCAGCATCTATCCGGTGCTATACGTTGCAGAAATAAGGAATGGGTAATTTCTGTAAAAAAAATAGTCAAAACTTTTTTTTGATTAAAATGGCTCCTCCGGTTTCTGATGTTTGGCAAAATTGTAAAATTTTATATTGGGGAAATATCAGGTGAAAACGAATTAAATGTTGAAAACTTGTAAAAATCATACCTAAAAGTTTTGTAAATTTATAGAAAAAAAATACTAGAGATAGGTATAGATATGAAATACATTTTCATCAAATATCAAGTTCAAACTCAACTTCATTTAGGAGTAATAAAAAGACAAATTTCAGGTGAATAACACTATTCATCTGAAATTTATCCTTTTTTTTCTTTTAAATGAAGTTGAGTTTGGAGTTGAGATTTGGAGAGAATGTATTTCATATCTACACCTATCTCTAGTTATTTTTTTTATGAATTTACAAAACTTTTAGATATGATTTTAACGAGTTTTCAACACTTAGCTCGTTTTCACCGGATATGTCCTCTTTTATATATATATATATATATATATATATATATATATATATATATATATATATATATATATATATATATATCATAACTGTGCTTATTTTGAGAATTTGAGGCTTTGGTGCAAAACACAAAACAAGACCATATATTTTAAAAATATCGAAAAAATGTGTCGAAGGTGGTGACGCTCTGCTAGTTAGAAAAAAATAATTATGTCAGTAATTCAATTTTCTTACTAAGTGAAAAAATAGAGTCAATAGTACATAGGACACATGTTCACATATACTTAAATTACGTTTTTTTTACATATTGTTATAATTATCATAAAACACTTTAGATAGGTAAATAAAATAAATCTGTTTTAGCAAGATGGTAACTTTTTAAGAAATAGAATGATGAGAGGTGTACGTGTAACCATCAATCTCTAGGAACAACCCTCCTTGATATTGTCTTTTTTTCTTGCATCCGTTTATGCCACGGGAGATGTACTGTAAAATGTATACTACATGGCTAAGGGCTCTGCATTTACATAGTAAAATTAAAGATCTAAGTACTCAACAGTCAGACCATTTCACATGCGTGTTGGGTGTCACATCGGATGTTTGACCGAATATTGGAAGGGGTTTTCAGACACGAATGAAAAAACTATTTTTATAACTTGCCTGGAAACCGCGAGATGAATCTTTTCAGCCTAATTAATCCGATTTTAAAAAATACATATTTTTATGTGAAATATATTATATGTTGTATAAATTAAAGCATATAATATTGATTTTGATAAATTTAATTGGCTTTTATGTAAACTTATTCACATTATTTTCAATTCATCTTATTTTAAATAATATTTTGTAGGATCATAGGAATCGAGATACTATCTAAGATTTTATAGGATTGTGCAGAAATAAATAGTAAGATCGAGATATTATGAAAATAAAATTAGGATACTATATAGGATGTGTATCGTTTCAACTTGGTAGGTATATTAAGTTATGTATAGGGGTACTAACAACCTTGATATAACTTAGCTTTTCAGTTGCACAGAAAATGAGAATGAGAAGAGTCATTAAAAATTGAATAATTGAGTATTAGCTACTATTAAAACTTATAAGTAGATTTATTTGTTTTTAAAAACTTTTATATAAAAATATCATTTAGTAATTTAGAAAATATGTTTATAGTAAACAAGGAAGTAGCTCCCCCCAGAAAAAAACCTAAACAAATATAGACCAAATCATTTTACTCGTGGATATTGTGCACATAAAATTGGGTCCATTGAGGGTTTTTAGTAAGGTCAGAAATATATACCTCTTATCTAGGGGTGGACGAAAAGCTCGTGACTCGTGACCAGCTCGTCTTGGCTCGTTGTATTTTTCTAACGAGTCGAGCTAGTATTTTAACTTATTAGAGATAACGAGCCAGCTCAAGCTGGCTCGCGAGCCAAGAAGACATCAAGTCAGAAGTCTAAAATGGCCATCCTTCTGGCCCAACTAGGACCAACTATGCCATACTACAATGGTGTGTTCACGTGATGAGGGCATGTGGGGCCACTGGCCAGCCTCACGCTCGTAGATAGGGGATAAATCAGTAGACAATGAACTAAGAAACCGAGAGGAGCGAGGAGCTGATTTCGCCGGCCTGCCGCTCGCCCGATCTGCTAGTTGCGGGCGTCCCCTGCTGCCGAAGCTACGGGATGCGGGCAAGCGGTGGCCATCAGTCTGAGGCTACAGGAACTGGTGGCGTCAGGCTCATGCCGCCGGATCCGATGGTCTCCTAGAAGCACATGAAGCCATGGCGGTGAGGGGAACCCGGTGGCCGACGATGATGCAGAGGAAGCCCGGCGGGAGGCAGTCCCAGAGTCCTTCCTCGAGCTCTGTCCAGCCAATCTTTATTGGACGGCGTATCTCGCTCTCACCACCACCATCTCTGATCGTTGGCGCCGCCGCAAGGGGTGGGCTCGCCACGCCACCGTCGGAGCCCGTCGATGTCCAGCCGCTCGTAGCAGCAGTGCAACACCAGCACTAGGCCAACACACGTTCTTCCTGGCCTTCTCCGAGTCGAATCGATCCCAACTCCAGCGCCCGACAACGCCGTCTTTGCCGCCAGCCACCTTCTGCATTGCCTGGCTCACGAGCCAAATTCAAAACGAGCCGAGCCGAGCTAGCAGTTTAGCTCGTTAGGATAACAAGCCGAGCCGAGCCAGCTTGATATCCACCCTTACTCTTATCTCGATCTGTTTGAGCGTGTATTAGAGCGTACATTCATCCGTGCAGGTGTGCGACTGCCATGTAACATAGTAAAACTGTATTCTTCCAACTATTAAATTCCAATAAGCCAGAGGGATATATACATTACAGTATACATGCGAGAACAGGTCAAACAGAAGTCGGCATGGATGCGTACATGGATCGTGTGAACAGCACGAAGAACAAAACAAGGCAAGGTCGAGAAGAATTGGCATTGTTCAAAGACGTGAATTAAATTGACTCGAGGGTCGATCGAGAATTTGCGACCGATCGTTCTTCTTCAGATCATTCATATTACTCTCACCGTGTTTAGTTCCATTTCAAAAAAAAATTTTAAATATATGAACACATATTTGAAGTATTAAACATAGACTAATAACAAAACAAATTATAGTAAACTGCGAGACGAATCTATTAAGCCTAATTAATTCATTATTAGCAAATGTTTACTGTAGCACCACATTATCAAATCATACTGTAATTAGACTCAAA